CTGCGCCCAGCACGCAGCCCGCGCAGAGCCCCCACCGCCGCACACAGGACGGTGTCCCCAGCACAGCCCACACCGCAGCTCGAGCTGCTGTGCCACCCCTTCCCCTCGCCCCAGCTCTGAAGGAGTGCGAGCCCCACGGGAGAGGAGAAATGGTGATGCAGCCACAGCCAGCCCTCTGCAAGGGGCTTTTGCCCACCCGTCTCCCGCCTGCGCAGGATCAACCACCTCAGGCCCTCGGAGCGCTGCCAGGGACCCTGCGGGCAGTTACCGTAGGAGCTGGCGTTGAGCCGCAGGCAGAGCGGGGAATCGCAGCAGTCCAGAGCACAGTGCTGCGTGCTCACACTGCTGTTGGTCCTGCACATCTCTGTGCTGCATGCACTGCTGCACCTGGCTGTGTAGTTCGTGCTGGAGAAACGATAAAGCTGCAATAGCAGAGCCAAAGGAAAAAATGCTAGGAGTGTGAAGAGATGCCATTATGAAGGAGCAAAAATAACTGACAGACCGCAACAGAGAGAGAGGGGGGAAACAGGAGATTGACACAGACTTAATGGAGTACTGTGGATTCCCGATATAAAGCAAGGGAAGACAGACTTTCCCTATCACAGCCCCCTGCACCTCCGTACCTCACAGTGAGTCTCATTATGGCACGTCACCGTTTTGTTTGCATGGGCTTCGTCTTGGTAACACCTCTCCCCAGAGCACTGAAAGCTTGGGCAGGTGAGCTGGAGGGAGAACACACCAGGGTGTCACCACGCAGCACAGCCTCCTTGCACAGCACTGCAGTGCTGTCCCCAGCCATGGCCTTGCTGCCTGGAAGGGCAGTCTCCGCCCCCCCACCGCCCGCCATGCCCAAGGTGCTCTCCCTCCGCCCCAGGAGATGCTCCCACAGGACTCCCGGCTCTTGTGAGAGACCAGTGGGGCTAGAGACCCGTCCGTGGGGTTGCAGCAGCCCAGCCAACAGCCCTCTTTCCTTTCCTTACCTTTCCTTTTCTTACCAGTCTTTCTTTTGTTCCATTCACAGAGGCGTTGGCGGCCACCGAGGCGTTGGCGGCCACCGAGGCGTTGGCGGCTGCATTGTGCTCTGCAAAACACAAAGGTCCCCCTTGGTGAAGGAAATGCCAACCTCGGGCTCAGCAAGCCCTGCATCCCCTCCTGAGCCTCTGGGCAATCCAAAGGGATCTGCGGGAAGCTTCAGTCACACTGTGGTTGGGATGTGGATGGCAGTAAGCAACCAGATCTCCCAGACAAGGTCCCTGGATCAGCTATGGGCAGCCCAACAAGCAGGTCAGAGACAACAGACTCCCACAGCAGCACTACAGGCAGGTGTTACAACTCCCTCCCCCTTCCAGCCACACTGCGTGTAAAGAACAGGCTTTTCTGGGGTCAAAACCTTGAAAAATGGTTCCTCAGTGCAGCTCCATCCTACAGAATACAGCCTGGAGAGGACAAGGGCAAAGTCCCTGTTGCACCACGCTGCCTTCGCCCTGCTCCCCATAGCAGCCCCAGGTTTCCCTTGGGGTGCAGAGCTTACCTGCTGTGGCAAGAGGGTCCTGGATGCAGAGGTGCAGAGCCAAAATGCAGAGCAGCAGGCCTGGAACGGAGGGGGTGTGATTGAGACCATCACATCTGCCACCTGCTTTACCCACAGCCCAAAGAGCCTCCCCAGAAGCTCACCCTCAAAACACCAAATCCAGCCTCCCTGGAGCAGGGCGGTGGCTGGTTCCCTTTAGGGAGGTCGTGGGGAGCCCCACAGACACACCTGAGGTTGGGGACCCATGCTGGCCACAGGGCACCAGCCCTGCTGCAGAAAGACCCCTGCCCTGCCCAGCGCCCAGGTGACCACCAGCCACCCCTCACCCCAGGGAGCCTCTGGCACAGCCTCCAGCAGCTGAGGCAGGGACGGATGCCCTGGGCACGCTGGGACGGACACCGCTCTCCATGCGGCAGCAGACTCCCCCTTACCTTGAACGGGGGGTACGATCCATCGGCAACTTGCCATCTTCATCCACCAGCAACTCCACCCAGGACCTGGCAGGAGGAGGCACGGCCAGAGCTGGGCAGCAGGAGGGGACAGTCCAGAAGTCACTGCTGCGGCCACTGCAGCACGTGCTCCCTGTGTCTGCCTGGCACACGGCTCCAGATGAGGTGGCAGAAACAATATCAGGACAAGTTACATAGAAGGAACTTTTCCTGTTAAGATTTTTTTCTGAAGAAACCTTTCTCCTAGGAAATTCTATAGCCTTTATTCTGGACACCATGGGAGACCAGAGAAATCCAGGTTGTTCAGCACTCCGTTTTTGGTCCCTGCAGTGGCAGGAACAAGTGCCTGGCAATAACAGAACCTGACCAACAGCACCTCTGAAAACTGCCATCCAGGTCGTCTCAACAGGCTCTCAACCCAGAAGTCATCTAACATACAAATAACCAAATATTTCAGCACCTTGTCACTGCACTTGCCTGGGCTTCAGGGAGCAACTGTCGGGCCCTTCCAGCCACAGCTGCAGCCAGAGGCAGCGGAACAAGCACGGAGGGGGCCCGGGAGCTGCCTGCCCCGG